AGAGAGGACAGGAGAGGAGAGGATAGTATAGGAGAGGAGAGGAGAGGAGAGTAGCGGAGAGGAGAGGAGATGATCGGAGAGGTGTGGTGAGGTGAGGTGAGGTGAGGTGAGGTGAGGTGAGGTGAGGTGAGGTGAGGTGAGGGGAGGTGAGGTGAGGTGAGGTGAGGTGAGGTGAGGTGAGGTCGGATGAGGTGGGGTGGGTTGAGGTAGGGGTGGGGTGTGGAGGGTAGGAGAGTGTAAGGAGAGATGGGATGGGATGGTGTGAGAGGGGCGCGTGGGGCGAAGGGGGAGGATGGGGAGGGGGTCAGGAGACGATCGTCGGCCACGGAGGATCAACAAGGTGCGCTCACCTCTGTGCGTGGTCCCGTTTATCCGCTTCTTCTTGCCGTTGGCGGGCGCGGGTCCGACGAGCCGGTACTCGCCCTTGGCCGCGCGCTCGGGCCCGAACTTGATGTTGATCCCATTGTCCTGCTCCTTGTCGGTCTGCATCTCGACTGCTTTTTGCGCCCGTGGCCGCTTTATATCGGCCCCGCGCGGCTCCTCTCCTTATCTCTCCTTAGCCGCCGCTATCGCGAGCGCTGTCCCTCTCCCCGGGGCCTCGGGGCCGCGGCCGTCGCGGCCGTCGCCACCGTCACCGCCGCCGCTCCCGCTCCCGCTCCCGCTCCCGCTAGCGCTAGCACTCCCGCTCTCGCTCGGGCTCGGGCTCGCGCTGCCGCTGCTGTCGCTCCCGCTTCCGGAGTCCTCGACCGGGCCCCTCCCCCGAGCGCCGCGGCGCCCTTCTCCGCTCCGGCACTGCCAGCGGTCGCACATAGACGCCCCCGTCGCCGCGTTGTTCGCGCTTGTCCCCCTCCCCCGACGCTCGAGATCGATGAGTGAGCGCCCGCCACCCCCGAGGACGAACCTAGAGCGTGGCCACGGCGGGCGCGAGTCCAGCCTGAGGCCGCAGCGACGATGAGGCAGCGCGGAGGGCAACGCTGGCTGCGCTGGCTGTCGAGCGAGTCGATTTCGAAGCGGACGAGTCGACGAGGCGAGCGACCACCAGCCGACCACCACAGCCGACCACCAACCGGGCAACGACCAGCCGACGGCGACCAGCCGACGACGACCAGTCGACGACCAGCCGACGTAGGCAACGAGGCGACGACGAGGCTGCGCTGCGCGTCGGAGGAGGCTCCCGGGCGAACTCGCGGTTCGTGCGCCGCGCGACGACTGCGATCAGCTGAGAGCGTTGAGGCGCGCGCGGGATCCCTTCCCTCGCGGGCCACCCCCACCTCCGCCGAGTGATACGCGGGGATTACGGCGGGGAGGATGGGGCAGGCGGTGGTGGCGGCGGCGATGCGCGCGAACGGCCGACGGGGACCCGCAATGCGCCCGGGCGCTCCCTCCGAGGAGCCGAGGACCCTGCGAGGAGCAACTGCGCGAGCGCGTTTCCCGCGCGAAGGGGCGAGGGAAGGAGGGAGGAGATAGAGCACACCGAGCCGACGGACGTACGTGTCTCGCCTCGCGGAGGATCTGTCGCAGGACCAGGACCTCCCGCGCTTTGCCATAATGCCTTTGTATGCTGTGTTTCCGTAATCCGAAAGCCCGTTGACACCCTCCCCCTGCCCCCTACCCCCTCCCTCACCGCCCCTCGTCACCCCACCCGTCTTGCCCCGCGCGATCAATCAATAGCTTTCTTTTCGCTATTCGCCTAGAGCATTATTATGTCACGCACAATGGCCCCACCTGGCTTTCGAACCTGGGGCTTTGGCATCTTTGTTATAAAATTTGTCGACTGTGATTTAGCTTGATTTATCCCAGCCCCCATCGACGTATCGCCATTCATCGTTTGCGTATGTTTCCGCTTGTTGGTTCAACGAGCCAATGATGATTAGAAAGATGGATAGACCAGTCGTGTAATAGATAGTTGGTCAGAGAGGAGGACGGAGATGTCGAGCGTGCTCTATGCAATTTTCCATAATTAATGTTCGATAAGTTGTCCGAGTTGCCTAGTAGTCTACTGCCACGTTTGGCACGGGTTTGCGAGGGATAGAATGTGAGAGATAGAGATAGAGATAGAGATAGAGATAGAGATAGATAGAGAGATAGAGAGATAGAGAGATAGAGAGATAGAGAGATAGAGAGATAGAGAGATAGAGAGATAGAGAGATAGAGAGATAGAGAGATAGAGAGATAGAGAGATAGAGAGATAGAGAGATAGAGAGATAGAGAGATAGAGAGATAGAGAGATAGAGAGATAGAGAGATAGAGAGATAGAGAGATAGAGAGATAGAGAGATAGAGAGATAGAGAGATAGAGAGATAGAGAGATAGAGAGATAGAGAGATAGAGAGATAGAGAGATAGAGAGATAGAGATAGAGATAGAGAGAGAGAGAGAGAGAGAGAGAGTGAGAGGAGCTGTCATTTCATTTATCAAGTGAGAAAGTGGTGCTATAATCATGCTTACCTACATACGCTTATGCAGCTTGGAGTTATCGTCACTGTGCAAGCCAATGCAGTTTTTATAGGTGAAATTTTTTTTAAAAATTCATACCCGGACGACCGATGGAAACATTGTAAAATCATTATTGTTTGTCGGGGAGTTTATCTGCTGTTGAATAATACAATACTACGATACGCCTTACTAGTATCGAGATTTCAGTCGTTATTTTGCATAACTTGCTAGACTCCGCTTATTAAAGTAGAAAATAATTAGCCCGAACCTAAACGAACATCCTACCAACCCAGCGTTTCTATAAATTATTTAAATTATTCGACCAACGTAAATTTGAAATAAACGGCACGTAGGACATAAATCATATTGGAATGTTCGTTTTTTAAAGCAATAATTGCGGACGATTGCGTGCATCATCATCTCATGACTTTATTCCTTCCAAAAGCCATGGGCATTCATTAATCTTATCGCCATGAAATCGATGGATCGCTTAATACTCATTGATCCATAATATTTCGCCAATTGAAGTCTTTGAACATATGATAAAGTTATGATGGCTAATGCTATCGGCTATCATGTTGAAGCTCGTGTCGGTTTATTATGTCCAAGTACAATTCTCCTTTAGAGTTGCTTAACAAGAAAAATAGAAAGAAAAAAAACAATGTGTTCGATCCTCCTCGAGGCAACCTTCGTTCGCTTTACGAAAAATGTATTCCTAGGTACTCCTAATTCACACACCCGGCTCTAATTAACAAACCTAACAATGTCGAATGATAATTAATGATTATTGCGTTTATTGCGTCGTTTTCCACATTATAAGAGCCGTATATCGTAATTGAAATTTTCGTCAACTTTTTGACATATTTACTTGACAATATTACTCAGTATGAGCTACGACAGTCCGTTGCTGAAATTCCTAAATGCCGATGCTCCAGCTAGCAGCTACACACGATGTGTTTACATTATTACAATAGCAAATATAGATGAGACTAATAACCAAAGTAATAACTACATGATTACCTATTTCACATTCAACTTTCTCCAATGTTTAATATTATAACATCGATCACTATATGCTTTGACGAAGCGCTTGTCTAATGTAAAAATCATAAGTAAAATTTATGTAATGTTATCGTTCTTAATTGCAAATAACAATAAAATAATATTTAAATTGCAGAATATGAAAAGGTAAAGTAAAGCTTCAAACATTCAAGCCTCGCACGTTAAAATATCGACTATGAACACATTTCATTTTCATCGTCTGAAATTCTTTATGAAATTCGAAATTACGCCATTTATTTCAACATTCACGTAAAAATCAATTGCTAAAAAATTTTGTATTATACATCTCTACATTCTTGAATTAGGCAATATTATATAATCTTCTTAGTGAAAATTTAATAAAAAAAAAAAAAAAAAAAAAAAAAATACTCGTTAGTAAATAAGCCATAACTTCCCATCTAATTTGCGCATAAATTTTTAATAAATTTAATATCATAAGTCTCGTTTCATCAATATTTCACAAATAAGTTAATTCGAATATCCAAATTTCATTAATAATTTTCTGCTACAAAAATAAAAATGTTCTTAAACACGAATTATCTATCGGTAAAATTTGTTATTAACAAAAAGGGCCAACTGCATTCAAACGAAATATATATGTTAATTAAAATATAGGATTTCCTTAGTGTATTTTCATATTACATCAACAGCTTTTATAAGTACGAACTTGGAAATATTAAGCATAAACTTTTACGAATATTCAATTAGAAAAATTTTTCATTTAACTACTTGAATCCTTATACAAATTTTATATTCGAAAATGTTTGCACATGTCTTTGAAGATGTTAGTAACCGATGATGTTACTTATTAACTAATTTAATATAATAAAAGTTTTTTTATTTTTTGTTTTTTGTTTTTTGTTTTTGTTTTTTTAATAACTACGATAAAATATTCACGAATTGGATTAATTAAATCGAAGTAAATAATCTTAAAGTGATTATTTAAAATTATTCATCGTAGAATTTAAATAACATTAATGGTTTGATATCATCATTACCAATTTACAAAATTTAAATGAATATTTTAAAATGTTTTTACATCAGATAAAAAAAAAAGAATAAATAGAGTCAATGTCGCATCACTTTATATATCTTTTTAGCCATTCATAGCCTATAGGTTTTTTTTTTTTTTTTTTTTTTTTTTTTTTTTAAATTAAATTATTGTAAGATAAAAAAATATGAATTTTCAATTTCGCCATTAAAACATACACCTTCACAGTCTTCGCCTCTTACTTTCGATGTGTACAATTGATAGAAAAACTTGTCGATTCAGTGAGGTATTTTGAAAAAATCCAATAGTCATTCGAAACGTCAATTAAAAAAAAAAAAAAAAAAAAAAAAAAAAAAAAAAAAAAAAAAAAAAAAAAAAAAAAAAAAAAAAAAAAAAAAAAAAAAAAGAAGAAGAAGAAGAAAACAAATTAACACGATAATATTGTTTTTTTTTTTTAATTTTCCGTTTTACTCAAAATTATGTTTTCAAATTATCCACTTCTTCTCATTTTATTTCAAAGATGAAAATATTTACTACACAGAGAGCTTCGAGTCTTAAAATTTTTCCATTCATTATTTATTCGTCATTGCATCTATTGTTCTTTACGGTGACATTTAATTTTGTATCTCCGACTTATTTAAATTAGAATTAATTCTATGAGTCAATAGCCTGTTGATATAATGATAAAGCCGTTTCTTTATTAAGGAATAAATCCATCCGTTTATTGTATTATTTATAATTGCTGTTTATCGAAATTATATTTTTAAATTATCAATTACGGCCTCAATGAAACTAAATTATTGACTGTAAAGTAAATTAACGTCTTGACAATTTTGTTAATAAGATTAAGAATACACTTTTCAAAATATATTTTTCAATTTTCTTCACAATAATACGAAGCATTGCACATGTGCTTCAAAGGCTATTATTTATATTTCAATATTACTTCAAAATTTTTTACGTAGATTTTGTCCAATAGAAGATTTGTCTTCTAATACTGAAATAATAAATCTTTCTCGACATAAAGAATGGATAGTTTATTAATTGACCGCTATTAAATCTTAAATACTTTATTATTTAATTTTCGAAATAGTAAAACAATCACTTTATTCGTTACTCAATACTCACTTACTGTTTGTGAAATTATATTGAATTAGTATT